CTGACAGACGATACGTCGTAGTCACGCGTTCAGCTCCGCTGACCGGTAAACTCATGAAGCAACTTTCACTATTATAGCCGTGAGATAACGTCTACAATGTCGTGGAGTGCCACAGGTGGTCACGGCTGCTGACACACTAGGGCGTTCGTCTCGAAACGTCAGCTGGCAAAATCAAAATCAAATAAAAAAGAAAATAATTTATTCATCGGCATAAGAAACTTACATTTCATCTATCGATAGTCATGTATTTTTTTTTAATCTACCACCGTTTCGTAATGAGGTTCGTAATGAGGTCATTGAATATTAAACCAAAATATTAAAATTTTCCCATTTTGTCATATAATGACAGTAATTTGGTTTAAGCTTACTTTTATTTGAATAAATTTCTTCCTTTTTAATGTTTAATATAATTTATTATTCATCAAACAATGGATGTGTGAAGATGGTAATCGACCAGACGATTCACCTCATGTTAGGTGATAACCGCCGTCCATGGACATTTCAAAAAAAAATCAAAATCAATGTCATTTATTCATCGGCATAAGAAACTTACATTTCATCTATCGATAGTCATGTATTATTTTTTAAATCTACCACCATTTCGTAATGAGGTTCCTCTAGCGGAGAAGAAGCAGGCGAAAGAAACTCCGTAGGTATCCTCTTTTTTGTAAGTCATTTTTTTTTCCTTAAAAATATTAGAATATTATACAACTGTTTTTTTTTTCCTTTTAGAAATAGCTTGAAAGCGATCAAATCATTCCCAGGGGTTATTGTCATTAATGTATTCATTTGTATTATAATAACCCTTTTAAAGTTTTTTATAGTGCTAATCTCTGGACTTAAGATTGAACATTAAAACATGTAGAAAAAGTACGAAAAGATTGTCGCCGCTGTGGGAAACGAACCCATGTCTTCGGCATTCGCGGCCTGACGCTCTAGCCACTGAGCTAAACGGCTGATAGCCACAGCGACGAAAATCTTAACGCCTTCCTTCTACATTGTTATTTAGCATTTGAAGCAATGCTTGGCGCATCTATTGTTATATCCTTTCCAGCATACAAACCATTTCGAATATCTTTTTACAACGATAATTCGAATAACCCTTAATAACCCTTTTTATAAAGTTTTTCTTTAATAAATTTCTTAAACCTGTTAATAGGCGCCCGGTCTTCTGTGAGGTGGTAGTACTTTCCAGGACGGACCTGCCCATTAGCGCAACAGGCGAAATTGTTGCGTGGCCTTACCACTTTTACAAATTGTATACACTGTATGTATGTAACAAAATGTATACACACAGAGAAAGATATTTATGTATGGACTTTTCCGTCACTTCAGTTCCAGTTGGTTCTACGTGATCACTGTCGTTAGACAACTTCTATACTAAAATAACAGTTTTGGAGGATCACCCCAATCGATTACAGTCTTTACACCAGTCCTCACTTACATTTCACTATAGCACATTCGTTTAAATTACTTTAAAATACATCAAGAAGAAGGTGTAATATCAAGAAACGTTTGCAAGACGTATAAACTACGGTAACTTTTAATTTTTATATTTTGTAATTTTGATTTTCTTAATACAGAATTATGTTAATCCGTAATAGAAACGCGATACATTTAATTAATTGTACGTGAACGAAACTCCGTCACCAAAAAGCTTAGACCCGTGAATAATATGGACAGTGAAAGCAACAAACACATTGAATATTTCTAAAATCTCTATCCTCCACTCAAGAAAATAATCCGATTTTCGCTTAGTACTAGCCCACGTTTATAACAAAGTTTAGTTTGTTAGAATCGCTACCAAGTAAGTGGCTTAGGTTAATTTTATAGTAGTTAGCTTGTTAGAGTGTTAGCTTATTAGAGTAAACTCGAAATGAGGTTTTGTTTAATCTTATGTTGTTTTAAGCGTTTTCGATATAATTCGTTACATACTAAATAGTTCCAGAAGTACACGATTTAATGTTTATAATTATGGTGATTGTATATTCTATTAGAGACAAGTCTACTGCCTAGGTTACACCGCAAAAAAATAATTAAATAGTAAAATTATTGCAAGGCATAATTTTAACGATGTAGTGCTACTGGTATGAGCAAATATGAGGCTCGCACTGGTAATCCCGATATAGGATTGCCACAAATTATGCAGGGAATCGTCAGAATGGTAATGAATGACCGAAGAAAAACTTCAAAAATTTTTCCAGGTCAATTGCTTAGTGTAACGTTAGCTATTTATGTTGCATATCAAATAACTTTCATTCATCCTCTTCAGAAAGGTGAAATGAATTATGCGAAATTAATGGTACCACAATCCATTACACAAGCAAGATCACGATAATGCGCCTACTAACGCATCAAACTGGTTATAGATAAAATTACTGAATTAAAATTTTAACTCCTGTAAACTGCTTCGAGAACTTTACAAACTAAGAGGGCATTTAAAAGTAATTTTCTCTGATCATGCTAAGCGATTTTACCATTTTTTTAAATAAATTCATATTACAGGAGAAACTGCAGGGCAAGAACAAAGGCCTTTAAGACTCAAAGGGTCTGCGTTTTTAGGAAGCGGTTGAGATTGTTACTAGAAGGTAATAGTTAATTGCTTTATGAACTAGTTACCCTTTGTCTTGCAGAAGCTCCATTAAAAATTGCAGATGCCAGTGCGGAGGCTCGCTTTACACCCTTTGATCAACCGTTTTAATACAAAAAAATCTGACAAGTATTTTAATGAATTCTCCGGCGATTCCCTCGTTTAACAAAATGTTCCTTATTAGATATTTATACACTACGAATAAATATTGCGTTTATTTCGTCGACTTCGTCCTGTACTTTGCCTAATATTACAAATTTTCTTAAAAAATTTTCTGTTTGCCTTCGCCGCTGAGCTCGTGATAAGTCAGTACTCATTAAGAATTATTTCAGCGGTGCCGGCGCCGGGGATCGAACTCAGATTGCTCGGATATATTGAATTTAAAACGAGCCCCCGGACAATTAAGCATTAGGGCTATATAGCATACACAATTAATGAAATCTATGTAGGATGATTTAATCGAAAAAGGGAATCTTCCGATTGCACAAATGCCTGTTCCATTTCAATCGCGGCTCTGGGCGATACCAGTTTCATTAAACCAGCGTGCATTATACCTATTATGTCCGTTACAAGAATAGCAAGTGGACGCATAATTGCATCGCTTCGGCTTTCCCTACCACGCCCATCCGTCTATTCATACTGCCGTTATCGCGCCGCCATCCCTTCCGGGGTGGACAGTGAAACGAGCCGTTTTTGTTCGCCTCCTCTCGCTGTAAATTCATTTTAAATCGCTTCCCTGTCGCCAGTTGCAACTTTCTACCGCCATTATTCATTACATTATGTCTTAATAGCGGCGCGTATTATAAAAAGTGGGAAACAACGGTGTCAGCGGATCGTTTCGATTAGACGAATTTTATTAATCTTACAATGCTCTTAATGCCGGCCATTCGATTAAGTAACACGGAGAGATCTAAAGTGAAACTGCACTCGATGTTACATTACAATTTATTGTCAGCGTTATTGTTTTAGTTGATCGGAAAATAGTTTATAAATAAAACGTGTTACGATTCGCGTTCCCTCGCATGCACTCCTATTCCAGACAAGTCGGTAAACTTGATCATACACAGAGTAACCTCTCGCAATTACTTTTGAGACGGCGCTGGATCAAATGATCAGAGAGAACGATCTAGAATATTTATGTTATTGTTGTTTTGTTGCTCGCGAAACGGAAAATGGGTCAAACGTCTATTAGCGTCGACTTGCTTTGCTGTTTATTAACAGTGTCTTTCGTTCACCCAAAGCCGTTGTTTGGCAACGTCAACGTCCACGTCACCCAAAGGCAACGTCCCACATGAGTGCCCGACATGTGCGTGAGTGAACGTGAATCAAAACGAGATAAACGTATAAGACGGTAGCTTTACTCCTTTCCCGTAAAAGTGGAAATTCCCGTCAGGATTGCAAGTGATTCTTCAGTGTGGTAATTCGCCCCGTCAAGATTATTGGCAAGTAACAGCCTATAAATGTTCCACGGCTGGGCAAAAGCTTCCACTGTCCGGAGGATATTATGACAGACACCACCACGCGTGTTACGGACGCGATTGGCGGACGTCATATTATAACATCGAAATATTTTTTTTTGTTATTATTTCGAAAATATGCAGGTCTCCTCACGATGTTTGCCTTTACCGCTGAACACGTGCTAAGTCACCATAAATTCTTATTCTAAAGCGAGCGCCCAGATAAGCTATCACGACTCGTCAGAGTAATAAATAAATAATTCCTTTATACTGCCTCACTCGCACTCAACTTGTTCTATAAACTGACAGGTTCTATTCGAAAGGGTCATCGAAAACAAATTTAATAGTTTAGGCGAATATTTCCTCAACAATCAAAAATTCACCGATTTCAAAGTCTTATTGTTTAGAACTATTACTTCAACTACTATTTCAACAGTACTTTACTATCTATCAGCGTATGTATTTTATTAAAATCTGATATTGACTTTAACTTAATAGCAATACGATGTTATTTGTTTATAAGTTAAAGTCAACCGAAATTATACAAATAGGTCCGAAGGCCATATCCTATTTACCCGGACGGCCCTGCCCATACGTGCAACAGCGAAGACTGTCCCGTGGCCCTATAGTGACAATTTCACTCACTTCGGCCGACGGTTAACCGTAACGTCATTGTGAACAGAGTCATTAAATTCTAACATATCCGATACGGTAGCCAGCCACGTTGCAAATTTCCACGGGCGGCGGTTATCACTTAACATCGGGTGAGCTGGCAGCTCGTTTTTGACTTTCTCACATAAAAAAAAAAAAAAAAAAAAACTTGGTAGCGATAATCTACATTCAGCTCAAACACCATCTCGTCTGCCTCCTCTAATAAAGGACAAAAAACGCCACACTCGTTTCGCTGTACCCGAATGTGCTACACGTGACACGGATGACAACACAAAGGGACAATGTACATCTTTACCTGTGAACAGGGTTGGCTGCCCATTATACGTGCCGAGTGCAAATATCGCCCGGTGAGGGGTGGGCGTGATTAAAAACCGATTTCGCCCCGTTTCATTAAGACCCCCCCCTCCCTCCCCCGCCACGGCGCGACTCGTTCGTAAAGCTCCGCACAAATAATTCGCCGCCCTTCCGATTTGCTAACATCGAACGGGGACGTGGAAGCTTCGCAAATTAATTCGGCCAGAGCGCCCGCAACTGCACCGGTTTTGTTCGGCGATTAAATTGGAAGAAATATGCTTGAAAATTATTCCATATGTCGGTTCATTATGAGAGACGTGTGAGTTTGTACTTTTGTATCCGGGAATATTTTTTATTTGGCGTGTGTGTGTGTGTGTGTGTGTGTGTGTGTGTGTGTGTGTGTGTGTGTGTGTGTGTGTGAGACTGTGTGTGACTGTGATCTTGTGTATTATATATATGATTTATAAACAGATAAAATAAAATATTTGTTGTTTAAGTTCGTACTGTAAATATCAAACACTTAATAGTATTTTAGGAAGCGCCAATGAATTTCAAAACGTAATATTGACTGATGAGTCTGGGAAAGACAATAATCTATAAGACTTAATCAATTACGGTCGAATTGGGGCCAATTGGCTAAAACAAGTTATAATATATAATAAAGATACATATTAAACAATCCGCGGCATGTTCTACATTATAGAATTGACGAACCACCTGATGTTAACAACTAAGAAATCTATCCCTATTCTCAAAATATCTACTGAAGTGGAGGAAATCAATTCGAATCATATTAAACTCGGCTGTGGAGTCAAAGTTGGTACAAAAAATAAAAGAAATAATTTTTTTTTGTAATACATCTATCTACAAAGAGTTACAATAAAAACAAACTGTCAAGCGTACGTAAGTAAATTGAGGAAAGTAAAACTTTGTCCACTATCATAATGTGTGGAGACGGATGTCCCTTTTTTCGATATTGCGAACGAGTCATTTGAATTGCAAAGCGGTTAAAAATGCCGATTTGACTTGTAAATTTAATTATTGCCCTCCATGACCAGAAGCGAAGTAAATGAAATACACATCACGAGCGAACAATTGATTACAGACTATTGTTTGTTTCAGAACATGCGAACGGTGCTGTTGTCCGCCCTAATAGGGTTTGCCATCGCCAGGGAGAGTGACTGGCAGCCGATAGTGCCAGACACGTCCGATGGATATGGCAGCTATTCCATGTCCTCCGACAGGTCCATTGAAGCCGGGTAAGATTTTCAGTTGTTGCCACTGACCCACCAATGAGTCCAACCATCTCGGATGAAACATTCAAATCAAAGATCCACTGATCCACCAATGAATCCACCAGCATCTTGAAGCAATTCTCTCTTTCTGAGAGAACTACTTCAAACGGAAACAAAATACGCAGCCGGGGCCGCGGTCGAAACTCGGCAGTTAATAAATATTTTCAGTAGAGCTTATATTAGTTTGATAAAGTACTCGTATGACTCAAAGGGAATAAGCAACGTTTCATTCAAACCGGTACTGGGAATTCATAACTATCAATTAAGCGCGTATATCGATTGAAACGCGGAAACTTCGCAGATTAACTAAACACGAAGGTACACAGACCGGGTCTTTTCGCCTAAATTAAATCGAAGTCACATTTAATTTACGCGAATAGATCGAATCGCAAGCAGCGCAGGCATGTTTGCCTTACGCACAATTATGCCGATGCATTAATTTAATTTCTATTTTCAATCGAAAACCACAAACACGATACACACTTTGTTTTGTATAAAACTATGGACCCGCCCCGGCCTCGCACGGGTGCACTGTATACAAAACTGTGTACATATACAAAACTTCCTCTTGAATTACTCTATCTAAAAGGACAAAACCTGCATCAAGATCCGTCGCGTAGTTTTAAAGATGTAAGCATACATAGGGACAGACAGACAGCGGGACGACTTTACTACTATGCAGTGATGAAGAGAAGCGGTCAAGCTTAGTGCGACGTAAGGGCCTTTGTACAAAATCAATCTCGCGGTCATATTCGCAGCAGCGCGCGACGCTTTGATGATATACGGAGGAGCGTATGTGTATACAATTCGGCAGCCGGGGATCGCGCCCCCGCCTATAATCACAACGCCGATATGTTTTCGACGTTGCTGTCCATTCAAACGGCACACGGGAAGGGTCGCGCTGCAGTTTGTGACCCTACCCGCTTTATTAATACGAAATTATTAGGACCACCCGGGGGGGATCGGACACGCGGCGCTTAATGAAACGGTCACTATTGAGCCAGAAGTTTTTTATGAAAGTTTTAAATACCACGCAAATGGGACGCAAAGTTGCATGAACGAAAATTACCGGTGCCTACTTTGGACGTCAGTACTGGTAATTTCCATCCAAGTTGCTACAAAGTGACCACTTAAAATTTATTATTCATAATGTCCGCTGCCCGTTTCCTCGTCTATGTGTCTATTAGTTCATTTGTTCGATAGAATTCTTAGTTAAAAGAAGCAATTTTTGTTCTACTACGTGACAGTTTCAGGGTGGTGGTTTTTCCCAGTTTCGTTGTCGCTTCTGTATGCAGCTGTCTGTTTTCTCACGGCTGACTAAAACATTACAGCTCTTGCAAAAATAATGACGGTCATCAAAACTACTGTAAAAACATTTAGATAAACGTAGATTCTATCTCCAAACATAGATTTTCTTAATCAAAAACAACAAAGTTGTGAGTATATTCACGTATACATGCAACGTTTCGTCCATATACCTGTTTATCGTATTATTGTATTATACATGTATATTGAAATTATGTTAGAAAGTAAGAATTTATACGGAATATTGTACATGATGAAGTTAAGCACTTCATAGGATGACCAACGTCACAATCGTTACAAAACATCGGTAATTAACAAAACCTATTAGAATAGAATCCTCAAATTATTTGTATTAATATAACACTCGAATGATGTTAGCAACAAATCGATCGCTACAACTCGTGGAGTCGACAAACCGCACGAGCTGTATGATCGATTGAAAAGTTGTTGAATGTATTATTTATTCGTCGGAAATGTAACTGAAAGTGTTCAAAATGGCAGGAAAATTAAAGCAACGTTAAAACATTTACATGCATACAGTATAGTCATTAGTTTGTACTTTACTGTAAGTAATAAAGTAACTATAGCGAGAAATAACCAAAATTGACACAATACAATGAGTTACTAATGAAATATTAGTGTCTATAAAAAATCTGTACAGGTTAATTATACAGATAGCAGTTTATTGGCATTTGTATATGAAAGAAATTTTATGTAATTAAGAAGACATACAAACGTCTGAAACTCAATTTTCCTATAAGACAGTTTTCATTACACAAATTAAAAGAGATTCCACGAATTGAAAATCTTTTATTAAAATGACTGAATGTCCGACAGAAAAATTTTCTACATTTCCCCAACTATCGATCCAATTTGAAACTTAAAGCTGACGTGAGAATACTGCTGTGACAATGGCAGCCTGTGGGATTATCCGTAAAAATTTTGGGTTCCGAAAGAGCCAATCGGGCAGTATGTCAGTCACGTAACAGATTTGCGAATCGAGATTCTGTTTACTTTGAAGCGTCTGATTGGTGATCCCTGTCACTAACAGCGTTGTCTGAATACAATTATTCTGAGTACAACATGCACTGTACGACATTGTAACAGGCGACATATTATTTTATATGTCACCAGGTGGAATTTTGTGATATAATGACAGTACATACTTATGTTTGAATAAACTTCTTCCCTTTTAATGTTTAACATAATTTATTATTCATCAAACAATGGATGTGAGAAGATGGTAATGGACCGGACGATTCGCCTGATATTAAGTGATAACCGCCGTCCATGGACATTTGCAACACCCATAGGTTTGCAGTTGCGTTGCCACCTTTTAATAAAGTGGGCCCCGGCTACCTCACTCACCAGACGAAACGCAGAAGTGTAACACTTCTACTTCACGCCGGTCTTCTGCGAGGTCGTGGTCCTAACCCGGACGGATCTGCCCATTCGTGCAACTATAAAGGATATAAGATATAAAGGTATGAAGATAATGTAAACAGGACAGCTGTGTACGAACTGTTATTTTTATGGAAAAAGCTTTACTTTACTCTTTTGTTTCAGGCCTCAGCTCAAGATTTTGAATCGAAGACCCGCACAGTCTTTGTATTCAACGAACAAACTGACAAGTTTTTACAACGTTGCCGCGGCCCCCGCGTCCGATACATGCAGCGTGTATAAAGTTTCCATGAACCAAGAGCTGTTCTATCAGTATTTAGAGTACGACAAGTTACTACCCGACCTCAAGGAGTTCACGCTATGCATGTGGACAAAGTTTCATAATCACACCGAAGATCACCCACTGTTTTCGTACGCTGGTGAGTAGAAATGAAGTTTGCATAACAAAGGGAATTGAATTGAGTCCTTGTTATAAAAGGTGATTTTTGTCATGGCGCCACTATTAAACACATAATACATGTTATTAATAAATTTCAAAACAAACTTCGAAAGGAAACTGATAGCAAACAATCCGTAAACATTTTCTTTGTCCAACAACATAGGCACTTTTCATGATCGTTCATTGATTATTGTTATTATTTACGATTACGGACTTGTTAAATAATTTACATGCGGATCAATGCACACCCCCTTACTTCAGACGTGTAAATAGGAAGCGAATTTCCAGTGGAACATCGAAATAGTGGAAAACCACATAAGCTATTAATTTTAGCAAAAGGTTTTCCGATTTGAGAGCAACTGCGGCCAGGCCATTTCGCCGATATTAAACTGATGGACACGAAAATGCGTTGAAATGTGTATAGAGGAAAGAGCCGCCAGACGCCACCCCCAGACCACCCACATTTGAATATCGACATCGACACCCCACTCGTCCGGCCGAAATATTGATGTCATCGTGTTACTTCCATTTAACTGGCTCAGTTGTTCATTAGTGAACGTCGAATATATCTCCGAAAAGGCCATAGTTCATTTAACGTCCCACCGGGCGCGTGGATGAATTTGACGCAATTTAAACTATATAGAGTTGCACCGTGTTCATCGGGATATATGACACACGAATGGAGCAGTTATGATTTCACACAGCAATACCTCGCATTCCTGACATAAACTGAACGCGTCCAATACGACGGAGGCTCCAATATATTGAGGAGTTATGCATTGAGGTTTTGAATTCCACAGTTGATTTAACAACAAACAGATATTTGAAATAAATGAAGGTTAATTAAAATAACGTGTATATACGGGTTCAACTGCGGGAGCATAGCAATACCAAAACAAGCCATGTCGATTCCCAAAATGCCAAGAGCTTCCTTTGATAGACTCGGTAATTATTGACACAATCTCTACCAGAAAATAACTATATGTACTAAAGATAGATTCGCAGCAAGTTTAACAGCAATAGTGAATATTATTACTTACACTTTTATTAGATACAAATATTTTCTCTCGTTTTTCTCTAGTTATCTTTAGATCGTCATAAGCAAATTATTCACCGAATAATAAAATTAGAGTCACGGCTCTTAATGAATATAAGATGGAAAATAATTGCCAATTATTTATCTGTAAGTGAGCTTTCTTAGACGGCAAATAATGCTGGTGTAGTTGTGTTCGAGGCAATATCAGTGGTTCCGATACCACCGGGGAACATCAGTGAGTTACGACACGCTCACCGCTTAACACAGTCGCGGACCTAAAAATATTATTAAAGAGTTGAACGCTACTATTATTGCATTCGTGTTTAAAGTGGGGCTAGTTATCCCCCTAAATACAGCAGTAGTATTTTATCATACATGTATGTTTGAACGGCACGGAGCTTACATCACTAAAGTGCAAAGCGTCTAGGGCCGTTTAATTAGATGAAATGTTTGATGGACACTTTTGAAGGTGGCCCAATCGCTGGACCCATGGATAAAGTGGCCATTGCGCAAGAAGTATTTCTTGCGCTGTCACTTCATAACTAGTTTTGAAACGCGTGCGCGCTAATAAGTAGGGTAAATAAACTACGCAAATCTTGCATGTGTGTACGTGTGGAGATTGTTTTCTTTTTATATTTCGTTTAGAAGAATGCTGCGTGCTGCTGACATATGTAAAATAGAAAGCGTTTTAACGTTTATCGTTTCGTACTGTTAATTAGTTTAAGATGTCATTTGCGAGATATCTGTTAATAACTTTAGTTCATATTTTCTGAATCAAATAAATAACTTTAATTTTATTGAAACACATAATTTCTCCATATGATAATTTGCGGGCACAATATTAACATGTCATGTTTGATTCAGAATTGTGAGCACCGACAAGTTGCAGTAGTTGTATTAAATACCAGGAGGCATGCTGACAGATTAAAGCAGTAGACAATAGATGCATTTGACGACTAGTAAATGTTATGTAACAAAAAGGAACAGAAACCAGATATTACAATATAAGACCGGTCTTATTTTCCTTAATAAACTGTAAATAGGTACATCCGGTGAACGCGCTACAGTGGCCCGATGAAACAGGCGATCTAGTTGTTTTTTTTTTTTTACCACAATTACAAGTGTCAGTAGTACACCAGACGTTACACTTGAAACAGTAATTGCAATATGCAATGCAAACTCTTTGTAAAATTTGCAATTAATGACTACGCGATAATTGAATTAACGTGTGTATTTATAAGATACGTATTCTACGGTACCAAAGAGTTATTCGAAAACTTCATATAGACAGTTAACGTCTTGTAGAAGAAAGTTACACCGTTCACGCCTTCTAGTCCTAAATAAGTAAATAGAGCACCAGGTAGGGCCAATTACAATGAATACATAAATACTCCTAGAAATTCTCATGGGAAAAGGTTTGGACTTGGAGCTTCTAAGCATTACGTTCCCTAAGCATTAAGTTGCAAAGTAATTAATGGCGCATGTATTTGCCCACTTATTAATATCCGCGGGCGTTGACAGGGTAACACGTGCGGCGCCATATTGTAACAAAATGGGCGCCGGTTACCTCACACAGACCAAGCGCAGAAACATAATACTGTGAGGTTGTGGCATTTTCCCGAACGGACGTGTCCATTCGTGCCGCAGATACAACTTTTATATTAAGTGGACTAAAAAAAAAGAAAATGTTCATACCCTGCTTCTAAGTCGAAAAGTAGGATCACACGTAGTCCTGCACGTCCGCCACTACTTTCCCACATAATTATCCACTAATGTTATGAATGATATTTAGTAAAATTTTGCTAGTGTATATCAAAATAGAAAGATAAAGGTGGATTTTTGACGCCAAGTGGAACCAACAAGAAATTATTTAAAACAAATATATATTTTTTGACAACGCAGTGGGCAATGCTTTGTCTTTCTTTAAATAATTTTTAATTTTCTCAACTGTTCATTGCAATACCGAAGGATAAGTAATTCATGCTCCATTTCGCAAGGAATTTAAATTTAAAGCCACTTCCCCCGAAACGCGATCCTTATTTGCTTTTTAACGGCTTAGTGGCTTTGTACTCGTAGAACGTGACCTAAGTGACTTGATTAAATTTATTTTTTACTTTTCTTTTACTGAACAATATTCATTATAATCAGAATGACTAAGATTTGCGTTCCTTTAAATTGAGTATGAATTAAATTCAGTCAATAATAAAAACACACTTTTCTCACAACATTTTTTTTAAAATTTAAAATGTTTATAGTGCTAATCTTTGCAATTAAGATTGAAATGCAATTGACATTAAAATATGTAGAAAAAGTACGAAAACATTGTCGCCGCTGTGGGAATCGAACCCATGTCTTCGGCATTCGCGGCCTGACGCTCTAGCCCCTGAGCTAAACGGCTGATTGCCACACCAACGAAAATCTTAACGTCTTTTTCTACATTGTTTCTTAGAATTTGAAGCAATGCTTGGCGCATCCATTTTTATATCCTTTCCAGCATACAAACAATTTCGAATATCGTTTTACAACGATAATTCGAACGAGAGATGTCGCCATTGCTTTTTTTAGAAATTTAAATTGTTTATAGTGCTAATCTTTGCACATTTTTTGGTGGAATGTATTTTCAATTTAAATATCTGCACACGGTATTTGACTTGAAAGGAATGCAATCAAGTCCGCCTTCTGCGTTATGGAATTTCGATGGAAACGATATAAGGATTTAATAAATAAATAAAGGTCTATTAGAGGAAAGAAACATTAAAACAACCGATTCACATCGAGCTTTCTTCTACCAGTTGGCGACGAGCCGAAAGAGATCTCGGCGTGGATATCAAACACTCAAGAAGCGAGTTACTACAGCATGGCGGTGCACGGGCAAACGTTCTTCAGATTAAACTATCCCCTAAAACTGAACACGTGAGTAAAGTAATAATACTGCGCTTATTTAACGACAGCGTGCCGTACATGATGTATAAAGGACCAATAACAATAATAATATTGGCTATCGAGCTATCGTCTATTATGCAACCGCAAACAATTCGATTTTTAGTGAGAACCCCTTCAAACTGGAAAAGGTATCGACAACTCTTCCACCCGGCGGGGGGTGGCTATTATGGCAATTGATAGCAGCTGTCCCCCGAGTATTCATCTGTTATGGACTTTCCATTAAAAATAATAGATTGAAACGCAACACAGGAATTACAACTGCGATGACAATCGCAGTCAATTGTAGATTTCATATTATTAATGTGATACCGACGACCCGAATGGCGTGGTGGGTAGTGTACCTGCCTCCTGCGCCAGTGGGTGTGGGATCGATCCCCACTATTGGAACGATATTGTGTGATGAAATTAGTGTTTTTCTAGTGTCTGTGTGTTTATATATGTATAAATAAGTTTTTATTTACAAAAGAAAAGTTTGTTTAAAGTTTATCACTTATCTAGTACCCATAGTACAAGCGCTATAGTAAGTTTATAATTTGGAACTAGAGAACGTTGTGTAAAAATTCGTCCCAAAATATTTATTATTCATTTATTATTATAAGCTCTAGGAGTATGGAGTGTGTAGAGTATAAAGAAACCACAGACCTGTAAGAGTTTATAGATGATAATGTACTCTTTTAATAGATACGTCACCACAGTAAAAAACACAATTTCTAGCCCCGAAACCAGGTATCAATTTTCACATTATCTATGATTATTACCTCGATACTTTATGACACAGATAAGTGAACAAAAAATATATTGACGGTATGATTTACTAATAGAACTGTTTACTGTTACTAGAGTGTACTGTTGAAACTTTACCTTTTAATTAAATATCGCTTCAATGTATTTGATCAATGGCAGAAAATTATTAGAATCTTAGTTTCAACTTTAAAATCGCAACATCTTTCATGAATCGTATGCAGTAGAGTATGGTTTTCGTCTAATTGGGTAATAAACGTAACGTTATTGAACGTATTTTACATTCCGCACAAAATGTAGGAAGTTACACACTTTACTGGCGTTTGTAGAGGGACTTTCCATTGCACCGTTCAATAAAAGATTAAATAGATCAATTTGCTGCTGACGAATGAAACCCGGTGTCTTGTTTGTTTAAATTTTAAGGCGGTATTATTTATGTTTTAAAAATTGATTTGCTATATGACATCGCTGAAGGTGTATGGGAAGTAATTAATAGAATCATCGCTTGATAATTGCATACCGACTTCGGGATGATGACCCCGTGGCGCAGTTGCCAAGGTATTGGCTTCGGCGTTGCGGGTCACCTGTTCGATTCCCACACGGGACAACTGTTTGCGTGACCCACAGAGAGTTATATCGTATCTAGGTGGTTTTTCGGCGTGAAATTTATGTTTGTGAATGGGCCTTATAACACGGGATAATGTTATCCTAAAGTAAGATGTTTTATAATAAAAGAGGTGACATTCACAAACAACTAAGTATAAACAATTTCAAACAATTTGAAAAGCTACCGTAATGGCAAGGGCCTACTATAATGTCCAAGAATACATTGAGGACAAGAATGTGTGGAAAAGACTTGCAAGACCCCTGGCTGCTACTATATTTTTATTTTATACCTAAATTAGATAATATAATTGCATCACAAAAAAGGCCAGTTCTTCTCCCTTCAGGTCCAGTTTAGTGAACCGGTGGTAGTTTTTTTTTTGTTGACGTTCAATTAGAGCTTAATTTGTGCCTATATTGAATAAAGATACTTTTACTTTGACTCTGACTATGAGCAACGCTTTTTAATACCAAAAAATAAAGAAGTATATATTTAAGTAGTTTTGCAGCGATTGCAATGCCCAAGGAGAACGTTGTACAAACGAAAATTTGAACGATGACGCCAATAATCCTCAAAGCTTTACCCTGACCATGAGTACATCCCACTGGACTGTACTGAAACCGCTGTACTGAAAGCCGAAACGGAACAGAGGCCAGAATAAAATTCCATTCCCTTTGCGGCGCGGACGGACGAAATCAAAAAAGACGGCGGTAAAACAAAGCTTCCATACAAATCACACGTATGGAGCGAGTGAACACGACAATGCCGCGAATGGCTCTGAGCGCTAACGAACAAAGGTGTTCGGAAATTGAAATCAGACTGTGCGTACGCAAATAGCCCTTGCTTCCCTGTTTTCCAACCGTTGCGCGGTACGCTCGTAATAGTTAGAGGATAATGCACACGATAAGCTCTTCAAACCGAATTGCGTACGAAGAGACAAATAGCGCTTTGAAATATTCACCGCGCCCAACCACCGCCAGGACAGGACTTGTTGTAAATTTGATCGCGATGATTTTTGTTTGTGAAAAAGACATCAATTGATAACGGTTAATGAAACAAATTTGGAATTATAGCTTAATATCAAAAAGTTGTTATAGGTTGCTATTGTAATGCCGTGAAGTACAAGTTGATCGCTTTTCATATATATATGGCTATTTTATTATTTTTTTGGATTTCTGGTGTCGAGCTTTTAATTGGAATATACTAATAATAGTACGCCAATGAAACTATTGATGAAAAGCAGTAAATAAGAACATGTTAGGAAACAAATTAAAACTGCGGCACCGATGAAATTATTAAAAAACATTTCGAAGATATGAGAAGGCTGATATCCCGCAATTAGGGCACATTCCATCATGCACTAATACTCTCCGTTCACACGATGCCTTTGCCCGGCAGTTGGATATATATGGCTTTTACTTTACTTATTTTTGAACCAACTGCAAAATGAAGGAGGTTCTCAATTCGACTGTAATTTTGTTTATGTTTGCTACCTGAGAACTTTCGACTGGGAGAAACGATTTGATGATAATTTTTTTTTTGATTTAAACTGATGCGTCTCGTGGTTTTAACGGCGGTAGGGCCACGCAGCAGCCTCGGGTAAGTGCCACGACCTCACAGAAGACTGGCGGAAAGTGGAAGTATAATACTTTCGCGTTTCGTCCGGTGAGTGAGGTTGTCAACGCATCTGCAACCTTCGGGTGCAGCAGATGCCCATGGGCGTCGGTATTTACTTAACATCAGGTGAACTGTCTGCTTGTCTGACAACTTTTCACATAAAAAAAATGTGGTCCCATATTAATTTCATTGGTATTGGACCTTAGGCTACAAAGGTTAGTAGTAACTCCTGAAAATCAATTATAAAATGAATACAGAGCGACATATTTTAAGTCGGTTTTTTGTTTCGTTAGCAAAAAAATTTTAAATATAAAAAAATGTAAAAAAGAGGCGCAGTAGTGGACTTACTTGTATAGTGTTTAAGATGTTGCGTTACTTTAAATTGGTTCAAATTTGTAATTCTCAATTTAATTCCTCATACTTCTATTATTTTGATTAAAGTTTTCTACACTGGTACATCATGGCCAAGGTCCTGTACAGTTGTCGCGATTCTCCCGTGATTTAACCGACGACCCGCGGCACTGAACCATTATCTAAGCAGCGATTACAGGGCCACCAATACAGACATAAACATTTCACTAACACACAACATTTACTATAGAATATTATAGCACGGGCTTAGTAGCAGACTGTCGGGGGGCCTATGTTCAGCAGTGGACACGAACGGGCTGAAGAACGGCGACGGTTCTTCTCTGGCAGATCTAGTTTAGTGAATCGGTGGTAGTTTTTGAGGTTCAATAAGAGCTTAATATTAGCCTATGTTGAGAAGAGAAATTTTGACTTTGACTTTGTGGACATCAGCACGCCACTCTGCTCCCGTTACAGCCTAGATATAGCGAAAACTGTGAATCCTGTCCAAACGAGAAATCAATAATTACTTTTACATAAAGACGAGTGAATCACAACGGTGCTTAATGAAACTTCTGGCACGGGGGCTTAATCTCAAAGAGGTAATTTTTTTAATTTAGTGCCTCCACACGTTACGTGATATTTTTTTTAAGATTTTTATTTAAAACCACTTCACAGTTTTTGTAAAATTATTATTTACCGTGTAAGGATTTATCATTACCTATCACTATATATCACGATTTGAATAAATAAAAGCATAATTATGTCCAAGAAGCCGCACCGATTTTGTTAAGGAGAATACTTCTTTTTATAAGTACAGTAATGCAGTTTTGTAAAAACAGAAGTAATAACTCAAATGAACTCAATTGAAAAACTATTACAAAAATACTACTATTATTAAAAACAGAAGTAATACAATGTAGTAAAAAGTTATTCATGACATTTCTTACTTTTATTAACCATACGATATTTTTATCTATTTCGTACGAGTACAATTGAAGGAAACTTTAAATATTACCATCCTTACAATTTCAAAAGAAAACCTGGCACGGCTTGTATTAATAAACGTCATTTGACGTATTCACTACAAAGCCTGTGTTTGTCGGCGACATGAATAGGAAATTGATTTTGCCCTCAAAGGCTTTGTTGGATGCTTCAAACTTAAAGCGATATCGCAATATACTGCATAAAAAGCGCCTCGGAGCGATATCTATATCAATACAATGTCGATTACTCAATGCATCTAATTAATTTTACTCCTCGAGCCGTTCGTAAGCTGGAGACGATCCAGTAAAGATTGTTAGCGGTTCAAACTTACTAATATATCGAATGTACAAGATTAACAAAATATAAGCTATATCATAGAATAAAATAAAATGCCCGGTAACGATAGCCACCACAAATACTGTTCGCAAAACGCTTACAATTTCACTCAAACTCAAAGTCGAATTTGTTATAAAAAAAAACCTTAAACGTTTAACGCAGGATGCTCGGCACTTAGAATTTGGTAATTAAACGCTGTATCGATATGTTCCCCGGACACCGGATACGGAACACAACATTGCAAAATCGTATTGGGCGTTAACGGTTTCTCAGTTGGGCAACATCCACCAGTTGTACCAAACGCGGTTGTTGCGTGTTTTGAATTTGTTGTTGTTAAAGGTGTTAAGTAATATCTCAAGTTCCTTGTAATAGTCTCACACCACTGGTGTCCACTGTTGCTTTTGAGTCCCATAAATTACGAGCGGTAAACCTTGTCTTATACAGAAAATGTGAGCTAAGGTTAGCAAATGTTTTTAAAAGAAAAAAACTACCGCGTTAAGTATGTAAATAAGAAAATCTCTGTCCATCCGATGTCTCTACGCACCTCAGCAGAAACACGGGTATATACAAAAGAAACTTAAACGAAACTTCCTCATCAACAGGCTCTTACATTTCGTTTCGAAAATTTAGATCTTCGTCGATATTTAAATCGAACGGATTAGAATCAAATACATCGATAATAATGATTTTAATACTTTCAATCTAAGCTTAATGAATGATAGATAAAATTATTGAAGTAATTTTTTCGAAAGGTGTGCACGCTTCATATTAATCTAGTGGCTAGTTCTCATGTTTGAATCTCGACGATCGATTCTTAGCTCCAAAGAAACACTGATAGAGTTCTAATCGTTATACAATATAGCCACCGGACCTATTCTATAGCCCTTAGTTATGGTGATATTTATTCGTATACTATCTTACCAAATTTTAAATGAACACAAGTGTGTTTATTTGTCAAGGACGACATAACTCAACATAATATATTTCAAGGTGTTCGAAAAAACTTTCGGTTGCTGACATTAATATGTATAAGGTTACCTAGAGGTTTTAAGATCAGTTATTTCATGGCCAAACGTAAGACGCAACGATGAAATCAAGTTTGATTAAATACTCATATATCTGTACATAAAATGAAAAGATATTTATGTCTATATATGGTATAAGTTGGGGTTTTGTCGCGTCAAATTTTTGTTCGTTCTATCCGCGGCGAAGTGGTTCCAATGAAATTGATGATTACTTTTAAGTGCTGATTTATCACATAGGTACTAGTCGGCCAAGGTAAACAATATGAGGAAATTGCATATTTTCTAAATATTAACACAAAATTGATTCGATGATATGTGAAGTCTGCCAATCCGCAATGGGGTTGTAGTCGTGGTAGTGTACTATACAAGAGAGATATTTGGGCGTAGTCAACCAGCTTAGGACTTTCCCTAACTATGGCTGTTACGTTACTTTAATTTACATTTTGTTTCAAACTTAGGTTTCGCTTTGCAGTCAAATTGAAATGGATATGGTTTCGGAAATGCGATTCGGGTATATTCGCGGGATATTTCGCAATTCTCATTTGAAATTATACCGCAACCTAACCGCGACGTACAATGCTGACGGAGATACATAGGTAATTAGAGAAGCTTTCGGATTGCCATATAGCAGACACAATACACGATCTTGTTACAAATACAAAAGTACTGAAATGTGCACTGAATATAAATAATAAATAATAAATATTTTTTAGGACACATTTTTACACAACATTTTCCAATCCCAAACTAAGCAAAGCTTGTACTATGGGTACTAGAAAACTGATAAACATACTTAAACATACATTTCTCTAATTGTTCTAATTTGACAATACTGTTCTGTATGTTATATAAATGATCGCATTTGATGTAATAATAGCTTAAAATAATTTAATATTTCTAGCATATAATTTGACCGGTATAAAATTAAAAAAAAAAAAAACAGCAGTGAATTTTCTCGATACAAACTCAAAGCTGGCATAAATTAAATGAGAGCTATGACTTTGACTCCATTAACAGATTTCGAGTTCAAATCTTTTTCATACCAAGGTTATGTTTATGCAATCTGTTAGAGTTCGAAACCTGTTTTTTCTCGTTGACATCGCAATCAATAAGAAAAACAAAAAGGCTATGTTAATTTATTTTTTAAACAAAACCTCGTTAATGTTAGAATTACAATATTTAAATTCACCTTACGATCGGCGAGAAAACGGCAAAAGTAATATTTGAACGTGATTCATTGCGAAATTGTTTTTGCGGTTTTTATGAACGCGTTTTGTAAGGCGTGTCAAAGCGACGAAATGTTTTATAATGCTTTAAAAAAACTAAAATATTATTCAAAAATAAAAACTTAGGGACCGGTCCAGAAAGCTGTCGGCCAGTAATTCTGCGGTAACAGTGATAATTTGAAACATGCCCCACTTTGTTAAATGGTGGTAACGCATCTACAATCTTGCGGGTGTTGTAAATGCCAATGGGCGGCGGATCGTTTGCCAACGTCTCAAATAAATTAAAAAAAAATAATTCCGTACAGTTCAAAAGTGAATAGCGACCCTAGTAAATGTTTTGGTTAACAAATCAAAGCTTATTCGGTAAGCATTTTTTGAGAGTAGATACGTGTGGCACGTTAACGCGTGCGATTACCGGTAATACGTTCATATAGGTGTTATTTATTTTCAATACGCTGCCAGGACTACTCACCGCTTGCATAATACATGAGCTCGGAGAAATCGCTGGCCCCGTTACTTGAAGTATATAACTAATAGATGGGCGCGTTTAGTTTGTCTAGCCTTCATCGACCTAACACATACTGCACATGTGCCTAGTGAAACAGAATTTTCCCCAGTTCCACTTATCGTGGCTGGGGATTAGGTTATTTTTCCGGGCGCTTGCTTCTAATTCTATACGGGGTGGCTCTTCTAAAGGTGCCCAAATTCACACCACCTACAAACCTACAAAATGCCAGGCTGTTACCTACAAAACAAAATTTGTTGACAATGCGGTAGTCATTCATAAATGCGTCGTATACTTTTGAAACGAACATGTGTGCGTGTTAGTTATGAATCACGATGAGTTGCGTATAAATCACGCACTTTTCGAGATAAATTAAAATGCATGTAATTTATTAATTACGAGTGATTTTAAAATTTTATCACTTTTTATATGACATTATTTATATCTAGAATTTAATAAAAAAATGGATACACTTAGAAAACTTAGAATTTTTAATTTGAAGAAGGAAAACCTCTTGAGAAAATCAGAATATTTGCGCAATAACAACAAAAAAAATATTTCGAAATTATTTTAAGTCTGTCAATTCGCAATGGAGCGGCTTGGGGATTATGCTCTAATACCCCAGATATGTAGAGAGAGGCAAATGCCTCCTGTATACTTATCATATATTAACCAGCAGTGGAAAATATATTGGCTATTATTTTACTTCCCTCTTCTTAGTCTCTCCCTACGATCAAGGCGAAACCGTACCGCACTTGCATTCCTAGGTACTTTTCAAACATATCGGGCTTGGGGGACTGGCTATCCCATCCCACGCGCTCCACGTTCGAGCGAGCTTTAACAGTCTACGTACTTGTAGCGTATACATCAGTTCAAATAGGGTACAGTACAGAGGACAGACAAACGTCGGGCCGATCGAATGCCTCACTTTGACGGCACAAAGCAAACGCTCAGAGCCAAAATACACGTAATACGGCTGTAATATAGCACGGTTCACGCAAAATTTCCGTTTGAGTAAGTCTGACATATTTAGAACATGCCGGTGAAGTTGTAACGGTCGCTGAGACAGAGAGCTAACACATAACAGCAAATAAACAATTTCGTATCGCTTGTATCCCACTAATTGTTTCGGGAAGTCAATTGTTCCATAAAATATAAATTCACGTTATTAAAATACCTCTCAAATAACTCTATCCGGCAGGTGAAATCGTTCTAGGTTTCAATGAACTTTTATGATTGAAAATGAACAATTAGTTACATTCCCCTTTTTCGTTTTGCCATTAATATAAGAAATAAGTATGCGCTTACAGGTGTTACAGTTAAGTTTTAAGAGTCAAGGGTTTATTTATTATTATCCTAAATTGAGATTACTATGCAAAGAGAGAACAACGCGATGTAAAATAAAACTATTCATAGCAGTTGGAATTTCGTTTTACCAATGATGTTTAATAAAGATTACGCAATGCTCAATTCACAATGTCCGTAATGCGCGTCTTTAAAAAAATTGTTCCACTTTACAAAGTCAAAGTGAAAATCAAAATTTATTTATTCAACATAGGCTTATTTTAAACTCTTATTGAACGTCAAAAACTACCACCGGTTCACTAAACTAGACCTGCAAGAGAAGAACCGGCAAGAAACTCTGCGGTCATATATGTATATATATTAAAATATGTAGAAAAAGTGCGAAAAGATTGTCGCCGCTGTGGGAATCGAACCCTCGCCTTCGGCATTCGCGGCCTGACGCTCTAGCCACTGAGCTAAACGGCTGATGACCACACCGACGAAAATCTTAACGCATTCCTCTACATTGTTTTCTTAGCATTTGAAGCAATGCTTGGCGCCATCTATTGTTATGTCCTTTCCAGCATACAAACAATTTCGAATATCGTTTTACAACGATAATTCGAACGAGAGATGTCACAATTGCTTTTTTAGAAATTTAAATTGTTTATAGTGGTAATCTTTGCACTTAAGATTGAACATTAAAATATGTAGAAAAAGTGCGAAAAGATTGTCGCCGCTGTGGGAATCGAACCCACGCCTTCGGCATTCGCCGCCTAATACATATTTTAATGTTCAATCTTAAGTGCAAAGATTAGCACTATAAACGATTTAAAAATGAGTGATATCTTGTTTAAATATGTTGTCGGCGAAAAATAAAGTATATGAACAGCTTATGATTTTAAGGCTATCCGGTTTAATAATTGCTTTACTTGTACATTCACAGATGGTACCACTCCTGCCAATCGTGGAACGGCAAGACTGGCGAATGGCAAGTGTGGGTGAACGCGGAAAGAGTCGGTAGAGGTTTCAACAACCGTGTAAGTGCTCACAGTGAGGACTAAATAGACCAATAGAAGACTGAAATGTCCTCAAACGCTTCTCACCGAGGACCTTAAAACGGATTCAAAACGCGCCAGGGCAAAGACTATTACTTTTTTATATATATGAAATCACATTGCAGTTAGTGCGGTGTGTGATTTCAAATTAAGACAAATAGTGCGTATTACATTATTAGGTTTCTGAAACACTGATCATCGTAGATGTCAACCTATCAGTATTTCAGAAACAAGGCGTAATAGATGAAAAAATATAATTGATCTACCTAACTTGCACAACACACCGACTAATTTACTCTTAATTTGAATCACATTTTGAAATTATTCGAGATCTTTGTATATTTTATACTAGCTGCTGCCCGCGACTACGTAGAATAGGCTGAAGGCGTAAAATTCGAACAGAAAGACAGATGTATATAAAATACTAGCTGCTGCCCGCGACTACGCCTGCGTAGAGGGGTGAAAATTTAGGGTTGTATGTATTTTTGTATGCTGTGTCATAAAAAAATAGAAACAAAAAAATTTTATATAAAAAATAAAAAAAAATTTAGGGGTGGACTACCCCCTTAACATTTAGGGGGACGAAAAATAGATAGTAGCCGATTCTCAGACCTACTGAATACACATATAAAATTTGGTAAAAATCGGTCGAGCCGTTTAGGAGGAGTTCAAGTTCGAACCCCGTGACACGAGAATTTTACAGATTAGATGTATATAAATTATAGCCTATATCTTATTCAGATGCATAAGCTGTATTATTGTAAAATTTCATTAAAATCCATTCAGTAGTGTTTGTGTAAAAGAGTAACAAACATCCATCCATACATACAAACTTTCGCCTTTATAATATTAGTAAGGATATACGTATTACATTCTTAATAAATTTCAAAATTTTCCTTTTACAGCTAGTCGGTCACGTCATTAAAGGAGGTGGCGTAGCAATATCTGGTCAGGAACAATCGCAGCTATATAACAAGGACAGCCTAGATACAATTAAAAGTATGTTCAAAATTTATAATTATTATTACTAAAACAAATTTTACATAAAGAATAATTCCTCTATAGGTAATTATTTAATATAGTCACATCTCTCTTCTTCTCAATATAGTCACATATGTCAAAATAAAAATTAAAGGTGATTTGTAGATATTTCGTTCTGCCAAAAGACGTTTTTCTTTATATGACGATAAAAATTTAACAGAAGACACAAATAAGAAAGCACTTGAGCCTCTTGATTGCAGAACAATCCGGTTTGATGGGCGAGGTTACGATGTTGCAATTGTACCAAGTGGCCCTGACAGCTGGTAAGGCGCACAAGGACCACAAGCACCACCACGTCCACCACTTCAAACATGACGGCACCCCTATAGAGGACGCAACAGGAGGCGCAGCCGAACCGCCACCGCCTCCGGCGACTCCGCTCGGAAATGGAAACTTCCTCATCGGCGGTCAACTCCAGAGAGCGCCAAGTCTGAACCTGGCGGGAGCTCAACAACAAATGATTCCCGCCCAGCTGCCGAGCGGATTACAAATCCATCAGCAGTATGTCAACGGCCAACTTGGTAACCGAATTATATCCGAACAGCTTCTGAATGGCATACAAACGTCTGCAAATAATGCAGGTTCAGCGTCTTCGATACCGTTAGTGGGTCTGGCAATCTCACCTATATCTCATAACCAAGGCTATTTGCCAAGGTTAGCGGCTGGACAGTCGAAAGGCTCCACTGTACTTTTATCTGGCTCCTTGTTGAACCCAGCGAATGTGCAGTACATCGATGGCGGTTCCGGACATGAGATATACAGAAGAGAATCAATAAAGCGCGACAAGAGAGACAACCCAGAAAAAGAACTGATTGAAGAGAATATGTCCAGTGAGTAAATATTTCGTTTTGATATCTTTATTCAAGTTTACACAGTAAACTTATCGATTAGATTATTATTATTCTATGTTGTTATACTATAACAATTGTTCGTTAAGTATAATTTGTACGTTTCTTTTGTCATTTAGGTAAGAAGGACAAACGCGGTCTTGTTGCCTTATCTGACGGATCCATAGTAGATGAGGCACTGCTCAGTCCAAGCATAGCGGACGACAGCGAAAATGCCGTCTTCGAAAAGTCGCTGCTGCAAGGCCTGGCTGGCGTCGTAGGCAACATACCGGTGCAAAATTTACAGAAACAGAACGTAAGTGGCAGATTAAATCTACAGATATATAATCGCATGGAATATTCATGCGCCTAGTCGTTACATTAGACACATCTAGATATATGTTATCCTGCTGCTTATATCAATTGAAAGCATATTCACACAAATCATTTGATATATGCTATGCTCCCTATTTTCCGGAAAGAGAATAATAACATATGTCAGACCAGTTACCTCATTATTGATTCAAAGCTCGTGTTCAAAATGGACGGCATCAAATTGATCTCACTGAACATTTTCAGAGCGACGAGCGTGAACCGGCAGAGGCTGAGGTGAAGGCAGTGATGCAAGTGTGCAGCGGTTGTGCGCAAGAACCATTCAAGAAGGCTTTAGTACTGTCGTGGAGATCGACACCGAAAAAACTCTACAGTGGGGCGCATTATTACAAAGGATTACCAATTTGCCGCGCTTTCTAATAACGCCGACGTGCAACTGTTTACGAAAATTAAGACTGCGGTTAAAACCACTAGTGTATTATGCTATACAATCTATAATAGTTCTTAATGTACAAACGAAAATCATCACCCACTTTTGCTGTACTGCATGTACACATTTTGCTGTACTGCTGTAATGCATGTGTCAGTTTTCAACTTTATTGTTGCATAGAGTGACGGCTGAAAAAACTTCTTGCCACCAACTTTCTTTCAAATCTGTTTACAATTTAGGTTCTTGTGTTGTTTGTAAAGTATATGAGTATTGCAACAATGTAGATAAATGTAATGTTAGTTGTAGGAGGTGATCACGAAAACATTGGTGAGTTATTTTCGCGGCTTATAGATTTAATTTGGCCTTTCATAAATACATCAAATGAGACGTTTATGAAGAGGCTGCTAGTATTAATGTAATTATCTTAATTTAAATGGATCAGCGGCTCCGTGGATGGCGGATTATTTGTGAAACTACGAGAAAGGCTCAAGTGCTGAATTAAAATTAGTCATTTTCATAAATCCAGTCGCAGCTTCTAGCAAGGTCATTATTTTTATTTATTGTAGTCTTAATTGCGTTTCCATTGTATGGATGGTATATCTACCAAGAGTTTTTGTGTTCTTGTTACCATTATTTTTAAATAAATGTCCGATCACTTAATAACTTTCAGTTTTACTTATTCCTTCAACTTTATCCATATGGGTTAGATATCAAAGTGATATGGGTCGGTACGAGTTATTTTGTTATACCTAAGTATGTTTCAAGTAAATTCATAATACATTGATAAAGAAACCGTAATTTTGTTATAAATCTTTTACATCGCCATTGTATTGTTACGAAATCTAAATTCTTTACATTTGTTCCGTGTAAAATATTGATCTAAAAATATTGTATACGCGCAAAAAGTCATATTTAAACGTAATTTCGTTTCTAAATTAGTATTTGAGGCCAGCACGCATTGTGCTAACATGGTGCAACGGAATAATGTCACTCACCTTCGACTTGTGGACATGGTGATGGTTATATTCGGAATCGATTTCGGGCTCACTGAAGTAGCTCTGCTCCTGAGTAGAAAAAAAAAACAGTTAAATTAAGGTGTGCTTTAAAGAATTGTGAATTACTCAAATGATAAAAACGTTTTTTTTTTTTATGTGAAAAGTTACCAAACGAGCAGACGGTTCACCTGATGGTAAGTGAATACCGCCGCCGTTACAGGGGCGTTGACAACCTTTTGAAAATTGGACTCCGGCTACCTCACTCATTATAAACAGATTTAGTCGAAACTATAATTATAATTTATTTTTATAATTTATGTATGTATATAATTATAATTGAATTTTATAACTGATGGAGTATTTTAAATTTCGCAAAAACAGTCAAGTAGGTTTTCCGAAAAATAATATAACATTCCATGTAACGAAATTTTGGATGGTTGGTATAATTACAATTCACATGTGAATAATGATTTTGATTGATATTAATGTGAATGATATGATTAATTTTATTTTAAGTTTAGAGACCAGGACTAAAAATTTAACTCAACATAAATTATTAATATTGATATTTTTTCCGCATGTCAATAACAAAGTAATTAAAAAATTATTAAAGTAAAATAATAAACTTATTACCAACGTTGCCTTATCGGTCCCTCACTCATGCAATTTCCTGTCACATGTCACACACATGTAAGTCACAAACACGCACATGCTCTAGCATATACATAAACAACACTAGCGTCTTCCACTCGCAAATTCCATAACGTTTTTTTTTTAATCCTTGTAATGTATCTTTGCAATACAAACACAAAGATCAGAATTCATAATACATACAATTTATTTAAATTAAATAAAACTTTTTTCATAAAATGTATTTCAGCATCGCTTATATCTTTATATCTATCTTTAATATAATTTCCATTTACAGAAGTACTAACCTAGGCTACTAGTTCAAAATTTAGCTCCTTAAGAAGGAATAAACTTTGGCCTAGCCTTTTTTTTTTTTTTTTGAAAAGGAGGCAAACGAGCCATTGATGGTAATTATTCAGTGCCCGAGGACACTTGCAACATCAGACGAGTCACAAAACGTTGCCGGACATTGACGTAGGAATGGTATCTCTTCTTGAAGTTCCCTAACTCAAATCTGTCCGGAAATATGGCTGGTAACAACGCATTCCACAACTTGTTTGTGCGTGGCAGAATGGTATACTGCCAACCAGCGATGGTATTTGGCAGTTTTACGCATCTTACGGTGGTGAAACTCATCAGCAGGTACTAAACTAAACAACACATCAGAGCACTTAAAATAATTACGATTAAAAATGCAAAGGCCAAAGGGTCTGAGCAATTGGAAAGGACCTTGTCGACAATGATTCTACCAGATGTGCTTTAGATGCGGTCAAATGGAACGAGCTGGTATTCGGGCAATCCAGCCTAGACACGTGAACAGTACGAATGTACGACCAAATCTGCGGAGCTGCGGATGGTGGGACGGCAGGAAACACCACGACACTACCCAGGACACCAAGCTTTTTGCAAGTCAGCTTAGACTCTTCCAAGTGATCGTGCAATTGAAGGCTGTTCGATTTGTCAATTCCAAGAATTCCACTCGAGTTTGTAGCAACAAGAGGCGTGCCCCCAAAAATAGGAGACACCAAAAATGGTTTCTTTGAGGCAAACGCGCAAACTTGTATCTTCTTAGGGTATATAGTACTTAGGGTATAAATTAGTATTTAGGCTAAGCATAATCGGCTCCAATCCGAGATTTTACATAAGGAATCCTCGACTTCAGACACAAGTTTATTCAGAAACTCATCAGTATATTTCTGAGACATATTTGTCCGGCCGTGTACGAGCTACGCTCCACATAATTACGAAACGGCGTCAATTGCACGCCTCATCATTTTTCTTTCAGTGTAAAATAATCGGCATTAAGTTCGCAGTTCGCTGTCAGTCAGTCAGTTATCAAGGATGTCACGAGTTCTCATTTATCAGTATCAAGTCGTTTATTAATTTTCGGGCAATACAGTTGTTTAAACTATATCAAGTGTTTTAAAGCAAGTTCTAGGAAACCTAAATTCCTACAGGCTGGTATATGAAGTATTATATGTATCTCGTATGGTTATACGGTATAACCTCAAATTATTATGGGTTATGTTGTCATGTAGACAAAAATTTCAATTTCTTAATTCATTTTCCAGTTTTACTACTTACAACATTTTTCTTAGTTGTTGCAACAACTAATAATCGTAATAATTAGTAACAAATTAATAAATAAGGAATAACTAATAATAAGGAATAACTAAACATGATATGGTTTAATGGTGAGGAGATATTGAACGGTCATAGTTTTCTTATCGTATTATTGATAGTGTTAAACTACGTTAAAGTAATGTCTTACAAATTTTCTTGTGCTACTTTATTGTTAGAAAGTGTGTGAGCAGTTTTTTAAAGACCTAGTGATTTTATTACGTTTGGATCTAACGTGGCTAACCGTTAATTGCTATTTCATTAACGGTTTTAAAAAAAGTGAGTGAGTCCTTACGTAAGAAGTACTCCTTCTTTGGCGTAGCAAAATGTAAATACGTTTTACATTTTTCTACGCTAGATACAGTTTAAACATTACCCTTACTCTAGTATAACATTATCCTGTTTTGTAAGGAAGTTTTACAAAGATAAATTTCACGTGGACACTATTGGGAAACAACTATCTGTGGATGCGAAACAACTATCTGTGGGTCACACAAATAGTTGTGCCGTGTGGGAATCGAACCACGACCCCAGACGCCGAAGCCAATACTTTGGCAACTGTGCCATGGAGTTATCGAAATATTCTCATCATATTTCTCCAAAGCACCGAAAACTTTTACTTATAGGGCGTTAATTTTTTTAAAACCTAATTAATATGAATAAACAGTTATCTATACTAAATTAGCTATATTAAAGTATCGAGAAACTTCAGGCTACTTTCTTGTCGCCGTACGCGCTTCGTAAAAATTTACTCTCAACATTATTTTCCTAACGCAACAAAAATAATAGCTTCAACAACTTTTATTTATAATGCGTTAAATTGTTTTAACATAATTACAATGAATAAACGGTCCGCTTCACACTATCCTAAAGGGCGATTTATCGACTAACTTCACGGGTGCTAATTTCTCATGTGCGTTGTAAAGGCGCATTGTAAACAATCACTCGTATTCATTGACATGGGTGGGCGTACATTTCAATCAAGTTTACACAACCATAAGCCCCGAAGAGCCTCGAAATGCCAATTCATTTTACTTCTGCTTGCAGCGAAACTTTGTTGCAATTTCCAAGCATTAATCTCTTTGAAATTTATTCGGGGGAACATTTTTCAGTTTCGCCTTCCCTGACTCTAAGGACAGTTCGATGATATTGCAAATTCATTTGAAAGTTGATAAGGTAATTGTTTATACATTTATTTAGTTTCCGTAATTTGAGCCACCTCCCAATGTCCGGCTTAGCTGAGGGGAAAATGGCGAAATAGTGGTGAAAGAACTCTCAGGCATCTACAATAGCATAAATATTAAAATTTATAGTTTTCAAATTATACTAAACTAGCGAGCCGGCCCGGCTTCGCACGGGTGCACTGTATTATACGTATACCCCTTTCTCTTGAATCACTCTACCTAGTAAAAAAAACGCATCAGGATCCGTTGCGTAGTTTTAAAGATCTAAATATACATAGGGACAGATAGACAGCGGGACGACTTTGTTTTATACTATGTAGTGCTGCCTTTCCAAGTTGGATAGTAAATATTTATTAGAAGAAAACATCTATTTTTGAAAACTCAAGTGACTAATCATATTAGTCACTTGAGTTTAGTTTGTCACACACAATTAGTCACACGAGCTAGACATCTTTTTCAATAATTATTGTTATTAAATATTATATAATTTAGCCCCGAGTTAAATAATACATATGCAACCATGGTTTGACTAGGAGAGCATAGTGCCCGTAAACTGCTAACATTTCTTGGAAAATTTAATGTCGGCGCGTTATTCAATTTTCACCATAGTGGCTGATTTCTTCACGATAGACTTGTTCACTGGTCGATAACTCAAACGTTAATAACCCGATTAGGTTCAGATTTGTTATCTATACCCTTAATGAGCCGTTCTACTAGTTACTACCTGAATTAATTAAACAACCCCCATCAACCCCTTCTTTCCATGAACTTTTTGACCGCCCTTCGTACAGATGCGAGTGAAAGGGCGAGTTAAGTCTACGCATGTGACATTGAGGTAAAAAAATCGATTAATTAATTTTGATTTTGCTCTCTTATATGTTTTTTTTAATTATTATATATTTTAAATGATAATTTTATATGGAAATGGAAATAATAGATTTTTTGTAGTAAAACTTCTTTAGGCGCGACTAGGGAGTGACTCAGATTTTTTCTGACGGAAGTAACGTCATAAGTATATGTCATAATTTTAAAATATGACTTATACTTATGACGTTACTAAATATTTAATCATTTCAGTGATATATGCCGTCAACGCCAAAGAAGTTTTACTTCAATCGCGCGTAAAGGTTACACGCACACACTTTTTTTTTAAAATTACTTCTTCTGTATTCTTTATTCTTCGAAGCATCGAATGTATTTTCTTAAAATGTTTTTAAAATTTACAAAGATTATCAGTTATATAAATCTGCGCCAAAAAGTTTATTTGCATAAGTCATCTAATCATGAATCTCTTAAGATTTACAAAAGGGGTTGGAACTATCAAAAATGTCTGGCTAATGAGAAAACATCATTTGCTTAGAACCAATTTTATTATCAGTATTATATTTAAAAATCAGCTTTTGTACTATAACGTAAGTAAAATTATAATTTCATGAACATAAAGGGTGTCTGGCAAGGGGTTGCCACGATGATAAGTGATTTTTAATAATATTCTGAACATTAAAACATGTAGAATATTCTGAAGGTGGTGCCAACAAATCGCACTTTATTATTTGACGAATTTAGATCAATTTTTTACACACTTTTAGTACCGTTTAGTACCATTTAGTGTTTAGTAATATTGTCGACATGGGC